GAAAAAACTCTTCTCTGAGCGAACCAGACGTCCCTCGTCGTTCAAACGGATTAGATGACATTCTCCGTTGATTTCAAACAGCTCAGCCTGCGCCCACGTGTCCGGAGGCAAAAGGCGAGCGTTTCTGTCCAAACCAGAAGAAATTCCTGGAACAAAAGAGAACTGAGTTTCGTTTTGTCTCTCTTTTATAGACTCGGCTGTCCGGCGGGCTGGACTCTGTGTGGGTTCCAGCTCATGTTCAGAACTTGTGTTTCGGGGTTCGACGCCGCTTTGGTGACGTCATCACGCTGCTTCCGGGTGCAAAGAATCATGGGACATGAAGTCTCTTTTGGTGCTTTCTTTTATTCTCTTTTTATCTGCTTTTTCAGAGCGCAGATGACACAGTCTTTTGGGGAAATCACCGCATAGTAATATTCTCATGAGGGCAGACCCTCAACATTCCCCCTTTTGGTTTCGGGGATCGCGCCAGAGCTCGATCGTCGGAAGCACAGATGGGTTCGTCCCTCAGGAACGTTGGTTGACTTGGTCTTTGGTCTTGGATCCTGGTCGCCTTTGGTCTTTGTCTTGGTCTTGGATCCTGGTCAGGCAAAAGAACAAGAGGGGACAGGAAACGGGATAGTCCCCACGCGCATAACGAAGAGGAGCCACCCACGCAGGTGGTACGCAATGATGTCGTCGTCCATGCAGGAGGTAGCAGTGTAGAAGGAGGGAGGCCGGCGGGCGGTTGATTCCATGACGGGACAAAAGGGGACAATAGGGGACAAGGATCAGGCAGTCCACAAGGGGACAGGGATCAGGCAGTCCATGGGGACAGGGATCAGGCAGTCCACGGTCCATGGGCTTAACAGGGGCACCCGTGAGGGGATAAAAGGGCATATCTCCGCCGGCCATACAGTTCAGTTCATGGGCACGCGGTTAATGTACGAGACTCCATAGTTCGCAAGTGCGCATTGGCCTATGTGATCCCAAGAACACTCATTTATATAGTTTATCAGTAAAAGAAATGGTGATTTGGAGTGACTTGCTCTTTAACCATGAAATTTAAATGTAATAGGGTAAAACCCAGTGCATTTAACACAATGCTGCACTTTAGAAAGTGGGTTGAAATATAAAATGATGGTGGAGCTGGGTTCCGACTATCGGCTTGTGGAGCTCTCGGGAGACCTCGGTTTTCCAACCGGTTCTCCCCTCCCCGCAGCTCGGCGCATCTCTGTCTGATCGCGGCTTCTGTCTGCTGCGCGGGCTGCCGGCTTGTGGAGCTCTGGGATGGAAACCTTTCAAGCCGGTTCTCCCCAGCGGCAGCTCTGCACATCTCAGATCGCAGCGGCGCTTGTCTGCTGTGCGGCTGCCGGCTTTCAGCAGCTTTCGGGAGACCTCTGTGTTCCACCCGGTTTTACCCAGCGGTCAGCCCGGCGCATCTCTGACTCAGAAGCTCTGGTGTTGTGCACAGTTAACTCCGGTTGTAGCTAGGTTGCTACCTCCGTTAGCTTAGCTCCCACCTCCACGTTAGCTTTGGGTTAGCTTCAGGTTAGCTTGTAGCTAGTTCGACCGGGTGTCGTCAGTTGATCCCAGCCTTACAGCCCCACCATCAGCTCCACCTCTCTTCCCTTTTGTGGAATTGTCTGGGCTTGACGGAACCTGTGACACGGTCAAAATGGCGGTGGTGGCCACCTCCCATTTATCTTCAAAAACGTGTTATTGGAGCCTATGGAAACCCATTATCCAATATTTATATGTTGATGTTGAGGTGTCTGTGTGTGAGAGAGAGAGGGACAGAGAGTTAAAATAATAATAAATAAAAAAAACCCGACCGGAGCGCAGGCAGTGACCGATGCAGCATGAGCCGTTTTTAGCTCTGTCTTGTCAAATGCAGCACGTACGTTACGAAAAAAGTAACTTTAAATATTCAACCGAAAAAGAGGCGAGCTGAAGAAAACCTAGGGAGCACTGAAGAAACGTGAGCCACAGTTAAGCAAGCAGAGAGATCCGTTACTGTGTGTGTGTGTGTGTGTGTGTGGGTGGGGGTGGGGGGGGGGGGGGGGGGGGGGGGGGGCCAGACGGACTGAGCTCCCGGCTGCAGTTTTGCGTGTAGGGAGGGGCGGGCGCTCTATGTGACTGGCCAATCACAGAGCGTGAAGGCAGTCAGTTACCCAGTGAGGATTTTCCTTCAGCACGATTACAGATATTTACGAGTTTTACTCATTTCATGCTCGTATTCGTCAAAAATGCTTTATCCATACCGGATACTAGCCTGAAACGAGTGTCCGGCTCATCCCCAGCTGTAGTTCCCGCTGCTTCTTCGGAAAACGGCGCAAATAAAAAAAAAAATACAACTTGGGATCTTGTAGGCGTCGCGCTGGGATTTCAGCCGTGGCGGGCCGCCACGGCTACGCCTATGTAAGGGAAACACTGATGACTTTATTTTTTCTGACGTTAATCTGATTCTGTTTTGAGAGCATTTTGATTTTATGACTTAGTTTTATTTTGTTTTGATCAATGTGAAGCACTTTGTGATTCTATGTCTGTGAGGAGTGCTACATAAATAAAATTTACTTACTAAAACATTTACTATCATGTACCAGACAATTAAAATAGTATCGGTCAGTTAATATAATATTAATACTAATGAGCGTCTGTCAGCTGTCTCATACTCATTAATATCCATTCATGTGACGTAGTTTAGCACTTAGAGAGAGGGAGAGAGACACCTTTCATCTGGTTCTGGAGCTCATGCGAGCTTCTGTGAGCTGGATCCGACTCAGAAACCAGCTCGACTGGCCTGCTGAGCCGTGCGTCTCTTCTGGTGGTCGGTTCTGACCTGGTTCTGACAGTGATCCGAGCTCCAGAAATATGCATTTAATTATCTAAACCCCACCACGGGTCTCTGGAGCCCAGCGTGAACCTCCCTGACCCGGTACCGACCGATGTGGGCTACAAAAGTCACAAAACGCCCTCAGGCACGGACATAGAAGCATTGTTTCTCTTATTTGGAAACCCGTGGACTCGATGTCCAGAGACGCTGGAGTTGGTACAGCCTTCACAAACTAGAGTTTGTCAACATGAACACAATCCAAAACTAGTAAACACACACAATGACTGGATAACATGACCCCTCTACCCTAAAACTAGCCACTCTCCACACTGAGTTGAGGCAGCGCCTAGCTTCTAACTAGAGCCCTGCACGGGCCTAAAATCTGAGCCCGTGTCCGGCCCGGCCCGAGGGGGTGGAGCCCCAGCCAGACCTGGCCCGAAAAGGTTTTCAGGATTCGCTGGCCCGGCCCGAGCCCGACTTTTTTTTAGCCAACTAAATGAAAACAAAGTGCGTCAATCCTGACCAATGTGTTAAAAGACGTGCAGGATCCGAGCGTCGCAGAAGCGCATGCGGGAAGCTTCCTCCCACTGAAGCGAGTGTTTTCCAAACCCTGTCTCTCAGAGAGACTTGCCACTTAGAAAATGTTCCCTGATTATGAAACTTTGGCTGAATAGTACTTGTTCCTGTCTCCAATGTGGCGACACATCCAGGAGCCGTCTGAGGATAAGCCCAGAATCTCACATCCTCTTCAGCTCATAAGCGCCTATGATTACGCACAAGCGTGACCCAACACGGACTCACAGTAAGACTGGGTTGGACCTGTTCAGGTTTACACAGACAATCTTTACATAGAATTGACTTACAGATATAAAATTAATTAAGTAAAATATAAAGCATTTTATTTAAATATCCATTCATTATTTTACAAGCACAGAGCGCCGCATCAGATGGATGGAAGAGCCGCGGGTTGCCGATCCCTGCTCTAGTTCAAAATATCATTAAAATTCCAAAAGTGCTGAAAAGAAAAAAAATGGGGCTTTCCGTGCATATACAATACATTACGGTATCCACCAGGATTCCCTGTCTTGAGCGCAACGAATCACAACACAGATTCGGAGACGTGCGAGTTTGTCATTCAAAATACTCCGTTTTATAACTTTTGAATGGCCGATCAGATTCAAATAATTCCAACGGTTCCTAAAAGTACATAAAAGCAGCTTTCCAGCGATCTATAGCATGAAGCAATCAGAGTTAGAGAAAATATCGCTACGAAGGGAAATCCTGCTGTACAGCCTGATTGAAACGGAGCGCAGAGCTGCGGTGAAAGCGGATAACCTATTAAATGACACGTTGAGGACGCAAACTCAATACATCTCTTTTATTGTGAGGTAATAATTTCTCCGAGTTTTGCGGTTGCGGGCGGGAGTAGACATGCACGCTGCAGGTGCGGGCGGGAGTGTAACACACGTTGCGGTTGCAGGCTGTAATGGTCAGAAATTCAGGGGGAGCGGGCAGGAGCGGGATGAAGAAAACAGTCCCGCGCAGGGCTCTACTGCTGCGTTTAAGTGTTTTAATTTTTTTTTAATGATTTCGATTAAAAATAAAGGCGCCCGGCCCGGCCCGTGTCCGAGGTAATTGCACAGTTGTTGGCCCGAAGCCCGGCCCGTTGGGCCGGGCCGACCCGAGGGCCTAGGGCTTCAGTGCAGGGCTCTACTTCTGACTCCCTTTAGTTACGTCAGAGGTTCACATTTAGAAAAAAAGAGCCTTTTTAGAAGCTTTGCTGAGAAAAGCCACTTTTACTAGAAAAGCTCTGCTGTTATGTATTTGAAAATGAATTATCCACAATAAGCATTTCAAATTGTATTTTTGGACAACATTTTATATAAATTAGAAAAAAAATGTAACCTGCAATTTGCTTTTTAAGTCGTGGGGCGGAATCTACGGTTGTTGGTCAAACTGTCTCCTCGTGCAACTGGACGATGCTAGGACCAATATAAGCAACAAACAACTGCAAAAAACGGCAAGTCCTTTTTGGCCCGAAGCTAAAGTGAATGAAAAAGGCCTGAAGGCAGACAGCTCATTATAATGAATGGCAAACAATATTCCGGGCCAGCTGAGGGAAAGCCAGGAGCAGCTTACTGCAAAACCCACAATTACAAACCAATGTTTAGTTTCATGATTCATTTACCTGGTCTGCTATGGGCTCCCAGGGCACATACTTCTGACAGATGTAGACCTGAAACTTGGTCTCCATCTCATTCATTATGCTCCTGCACTCCTTTTCATCTAAAAACCGAGTCACTCCTGGAACATTCACTGTGATGGTTCGTGTGCAGATGGAGGAGAGCACACCCTGCAAGACTTCTTCGGCTACTTGGCAAGCAACTGCGGGGCCATGGATCTATCAGATTTGGTAGCAGAAAAAATTTATTGATCAAAAAACTTGACTTGCAATTTGGAAATAAAGTCAAAAGTAATACTTTGACGCTCCTACCTTTAATCCACAAGCATCTTCAGCTTCTAGTGGAAATATCGACACTTGCTCCATGTCAGCCAACAGCTGATGACAGTGAATCTGAATGTATTTCAGCACGCCTGGCTCCATCGGCAGGACAGTATCCCTTTCAATGGGGGTAGTCAAAAACTGCAGAACTGCAGCCTGCTTCTCATCCTCCATTCCTTTCAGAGTCAGGACATCAATGGTCCCTCTTTCTCTTGACATCTTTGCAGAAGTGAAACACAAAGTCTGCAGAAACGCACTCCACTCTCTACATTCCAAAATGCACTTTTGCTCCACATCCACCGGCACGCTGAAGTGGCACACTTGGGATTTTAAAAAGGCACATGCCTGGTCGGCGGTGTTTTGGGACAGGGATGCCACAGTAACGGTAGAATCGGACACAGAATACAACGTAAGTGAAACGGTTGTATTTATGGTTTGTAATAACCGCTCCTTCACATCTTTTCTTGCAAGGAACTCAGCTTTCTCCACTTCAAGGGTAAACTGAGTCTCTTTCATGTCTCTGATAAATTGTGAGATTGTATCTTTTAGCTGTTGGAGATGACCTCTGTCTGGACTTGCAATGTGCAAGCCACCATCTTTAATCTCAATGCTAACACTTGGGTTAGCTTTCTGCATGACTTGCTGAAAAGAGCTGTTTTGGAACAAAGCCATTTTTATTGGGTCTGTGATGGGAATGTGGCACGAGGGTGTCTCGGTTTCCTCATCTTGACCCTCCATCACTTCAACTACTTCCTGTTCTGCAGCCACATCGGCAGCCAGAGCTTCTGAGGCTGTTGGAGAGGCTGAGTCAAAGATGTCTGATGTCCAAGCTAGAGAAGACTGGTCAGCACCAGCTAGGAGGGGACTGGTCTTCATCTGAACATTGTTGACTTCTTCAGAGTTGTCCTCTAGAACTTCTTGGGTGTCAATATTTACGTCTTGATCTGCTGAACTCTGTGCAGCCTGGAGAAAGTCAAAGTAAGGCTTCACTACGAGTTCAGCGTTGTTCAGCTGATGTGGAAGATCCAGGACACTGTCCACGGCTGTCGAACAGGAACACAATTTGTTTAAAACAGAAATGTCAGGAAAACAAAAGCTCTTAAGGTTACAAAGTGCACAAACTTACAGTCATAATCAGCAAAGGACACCTTTGCTGTGCCCTCTGAAAGCACAGTGACATTCTTCACCATCTGACTCCCACCCCTCTCACTCTCAAAGTACAAAGTAAGCAGGTCTGGTGTGGTGCCAGGGTGGAGGTTCTCCACTATAATGGAGTCAGTTTGTTCCATCTGTTCAAGAGTTACCATCGCCCCATCCAGTGTTCTCTTGGAGATTTTTGTGCTAAGAGATTGGAAATCTGAAAAACAAAAATCATACATCCACTTATTGAGAACTCAGGGAAGATTTAGTTGTTTAAAAAAATTAAAGCCATTTTACCAGTGTTGGATGACCGCAGCACAAACTTCTCCAATAAGATTTATTCCAAACTTCAGAATTGTAATCCCAGTAGATTCAATGAGTCTAAAATTAATTAGCGACATAAAAATCGATGCGCTCCCAAGGAAGAAAAGTCCCATGAAAACTAGGGATGCACAATATATCGGCATCAATATCGGTATTGGCCGATGTTAGTAATTATTTAACATACCGTTATCGGCCTGATAAAATAACTGGGCCGATATTAACAACCAATATTTTTTCCATCTCGTTTCCTTTTGTTTATCTGTTTCAGAGAGTGTGTGGGGGTGTGATGTGTATTTGTTTAGTCATGTGACACTGACTTTAATCATCTCAGAAGCATAAATGTGTGTGTTGTGTGTGTGCATAATAACATAAATTCAGCTTTAATAATTTTCATTCTATACGAAATCTGCTGATTTTAGAAGCATTAATGTCAGTATACCGGTTATCGGCCATAACAGTGGTGTTAATAGCGGCACTGGCCCAAAATTTTTATATCGATGCATCACTAATGAGAACAGTTGAAAATACCATTTTTGATCCTATGTATAGACTAGGCTTGATTCAAGCATCCAATCTGTCTTGTTACTGGAAGACAAGATGAACAATTCATGAACGGAACATCACTAATGAATAGGGATGGACAATATATCGACATCAATATCGGTATCGGCCGATGTTAGTCATTTGTAAACATATCGGCATTGCTTCGATTAAAAAAACCGGGCCGATTTTAACAACCAGTATTTTTTCCATCTCGTCTTTATTTGTTTGCCTGTTTCAGAGGGTGATGTGTAATTGTTTAGTCATGTGAACAGTGAATGAAATCATCTCAAAAGCGTAAATGTGTGTGGTGTGTGTGCATAAAAACGTAAATTCACCTTTAATAGTTTTCATTCTCTACAACATCTGCTGATTTTAGAAGCCTTAATGTTAGTATATCGACATCGGCAAATATCGGTTATCGGCCATAACAGCGATCTTAATATCGGATATCGGTATCGGCCCAAATATTTAATATCGGTGCATCACTACTAATGAGTTAGGGCAATACTGTTGTCTGGGTATCCTGGAGCTGGGGTGGGTGTGTGGGGGTGGTCTTACCAGTGGGTAGAGCAATCATGTCAGTGTAGGCCAAACTTACTGTTACCATCTGGTAGCAGATGAGGGGAAAATACCAGGTATTATTGTAAACATCATCTGTAAAAAGTTCCAATCTTCTGGTTTAAATAACCTCACAGATCTGTAAGGTGGATTTCATATTTCCTATGGAATTCCACGCCTTATGGTTCATTAAATAACATGTAATCTAATTCATTACACCTTATATGGTGTTCACTCACTCACTGACCTTTTGAGAAGGGCTGGCTTAAATGAATGAGGATGAAATCTCTCCCTGGCCAGGTGACCAGAGTGTAGTCTGTGACGTTCAGGTCCATCATGTTCTCCACGTAGAGCTCTATCATCTCCGTGTTGGTGTCGGGGTTGGTTCCCCGCAGCAGCAGTCTGCGCTTGTCCTTCGATGGAGACTTTCTGACGCTCAGCTCAGTGTTGAGCAGAACATGGTGCCCTTTAGACAGCACTCTGGCTGCAGCTGCCAAGATCATCAGAGCAGAAACAAAAGAAATTGCACACGTAGTTAAAATCTGCACTGTTTCAATTCAAGAAAATCAGAAAAGAGGAGTTTGAAAGACCATTTAGCAATTTTAAAACGTGGACGGTATTTTTTAACTTAGTGTGCTAAAAGTTTTTACCATCCTGTGTGTGTTTATACTTTAGTTTATACAAGTCAAGTCGTGGTGAAGAGAGAGCTGAGTCAGAAGGCGAAGCTCTCGATTTACCGGTCGATCTACGTTCCTACCCTCACCTATGGTCATGAGCTTTTGGTAGTGACCTAAAGAACGAGATCACGGATACAGGGGTCGCCTCCCTGGTGAGGTTTTCCAGGCACGTCCAACCGGGAGGAGACCTAAAGGTAGACCCAGGACACGGTGGAGGGACTAGGTCTCTCACCTGGCCAGGGAACGCCTTGGGATTCCCCCAGAAGAGCTGGCCCAAGTGGCTGGGGAGAGGGAAGTCTGGGCCTCTTGACTTAGGCTACTGCCCCCGCGACCCGACTCCGGATAAGCGGATGAAAATGGATGGATGGATGGACAAGTCAATGGGCTGAGCTCTAAGGGCCAATGCAACAACTGACATTGTTCCATTTAAGGACTTTCCACCCAGACTCACTTTTACTGCACTGGCTAATTTGGAAACAATGTCATGCTCAATTCAAACTTCTCAGATGCACAGCAGACTAGAACATGTTAGTACCTTTCTGCCTTCATAATTTCATGAATTTGGGCAAGATCTCCCTTCAGCATCAGCTGAAAAACAGCCACAAGCGGTGACAAAACCACCTTCTACAGGCGCTTTACCGACGCAGGAACCAGATCTGCTCGGGCTGTTGTGCCTGTCGATGACATCACTTCACATAACCGGCTGGAAGTCTGCACGATTTTTGTTGGTCTGAAGACTGTGGGAGTTGTGTTAGCATGTAATCCGGCAACTCTGGTAACCAGAGCTGCTCTGGGTTGTAGCTCCTTTTAGAAGAAAGCATGGGTGACTTATATTACCTTTGCAACTGACATTTGGTCCAATAACAAATCCTAGACTGCTCACCATAAATTAAACTAAATAATCTATACATGCACATTTATTTTCTCACATGAAAATACATTTTGGGGGTTATTTGACACCATTTTAATAATATCATTCAACAACTAGCATCAGTAAAACACAATAACAGTTGAGGTAAACAGAAGAATTCAACACCTGTACAAACAACCAGAGGAATGACTTTATACATACATGCACAAGTTCACAAGTATGAGTTGTTTTGAGAGTCATTCAGCATTTTAAGGCTGATTACGTTACAGTGACACGACAAGGCCGTCCAAATACGAAGGACACTCTCATCAATGTGCCCTGGTTTCCCCCGAATTTCATGGACAGGTTTGGTGTGTCCTTGTTAGCAGAATCCCAGAATTCATTGTTGGCCAAACAGGAGAATCCTGTTCTTGTAATAATGGCGGATGAAGTGGAAAAGGATTACAAATTTAAATGTAAGTATATTAAAAAGCAGGTTCAATTGAAATGGTAAGAGTCCCTTTTAGTTTAGTACCGTCCCGGTTGCTAAGCGACAAGACAAATGCTGAGGTAGGGGTAGAAATAAATACTATGGCTAGACCATCCGAATTCACAGCTGCTCATGTCCAGTCTCAAGCCTGCCGCACACGAGAGCAAACGGCCTCAGATGACCGTTTGCTCAGCAGATACCTCGCCGTGTGTGCCTGATTTTCACTGAGTTTTCCACCTCATGAGACGCTGAGGTGAATATCTGAACGGTTTGAAATTTTCCACCTCACACGGAGTAAAAACTCACCGTGAGCTGCTGGCTGAGCTGAAATACTCTAGTGGCCAATCAAAGCGCGTTCTCTGCTCACATGACCCAAAGATGGCAGCCCCCTGTCTGCATATCAGAAAATAAACAAAACAGAGCTGGAAACGGAGGAAATGCCTCTACTTATTTTGTTGATGAGGCGTCTCCGCCATCGTCATTTCAAAGTTAGGGAAGTTTTGGTACGGTGGCTGCAAACAAGAAGCTAGGCAAGGAGTTTATGCCAATGTACTCCAAGAGATGCGCCTTGAATGCTTCCAACAGTACCACCGCCTGGATCCTTAACCCTTTGAGAGGGTAGTGGACACAGTGGGCCCATCAATCCACAAGGTACCGTGTTGTTTATTTTTCTGACACGCAGACAGGGCAGGGGCTGCATCTGAATACATCTTGGAATCATGTGAGCGGAGAAAGCGTTTTGTGCTCTGGTGTGCGGCAGGCTTTAGCACTCCTATGTGGACTGGCGAGGTCGGGTACTCACAGGAATGGACCATAGCTTGTTCAAGTGGCATTGTTGTAGTGTGACATCATCATCAGACGCAGGGCAAAGCAGATCTGGCCCTGCCTGCATATCCGTTTGGACACTGGCAACTATTTAATTCAAAAATCCATTTTGTAATTAAGAACTTTATCTACCAAAAACGACACTTTTTGTAATAAACGTTAGCCATGTGAAGCAAAACATAAAGGAAATGCAAGGTGAATGAACATTCTTGTCGCCGTTACTCAGTGTTCTGTTCCTACCACTGCAGCGTAGGAATATTACATCCCAGGGATGGCTGTGTGTGTTCTGATGTCAAATAAAAATATCACATTTGACTTCACTTAAAAAATGTCGTAAATGTGACTTGCCTTCTGCCTCTTCAAACACCAGTACAGCATGATTGTCCTTTCTTTTCAACGATTCAAGCGGACCTCCCCCGGAGCGCCGCTTATTTTCAAAGTACAGGAACAGCAGCTCCTCGTCTAATCCTTCAGGCAGCTGCAGGACCTCCACCGTCCTGTCCTCTGGGCTTTCTACAGACATCCTTAGAAACACAGAGACATAATCTTTCAGTCAAACCACTTTACTTTACCTGGTTTCAACATTAAAACTGTACTTTAACACAACTAAAATCCTGATTTATGAGTAAAAACCACCAGGAAAGGACATTGGTTTAAAAAAAGTTTGCAGTTATTACAGTATTCTCTGTTTTTTTGGGTACTTTAAACAGTAAATGGCCTGTATTTGTATAGTGCCTTAGGATTCTACAACCCCCCCAAGGTGCTTTACAACACAATCAGTAATCCACCCAGAGGAGAATGGCCAGACTGGTTCGAGCTGATAGAAGGGCAACAGTAACCCCAAAATTCCACTATCTCCGCTCCGCTCCGGCACGAACTCCGCAGCACAATCGGTCCCGTTGTAGTCAATCAGAGCTGTTCCACTGCTGCGGCCGTGCGGCAAAAATAGGATCGATTCTATTTTTGCCGCACGCCGGAGCACCTCCGCAGTCAATGGACAGAAATCACAACGGCCCAACAGGAAAGGGAGCAAGCACAACTTCCGTTTTTCACAATAAATCGATAAACAAAAGGCGTTTTTTGTTTCTTATGCACAGGTTTAACAACTTTTAACAACTATCAATGGCGGCTGAAGTTTAAATGCACAAAAATAAGCCATAAATACAGTTTCCACTATCAAAGTAGTCACACTTTGTTGATCCAAACACTGCTGATCTCTCAACACAACTGATGGGCAGATTAAACAGTTCGTGCCGATGCTTCTCCCACACAACGGGTGTTTGGATCTAACTTCCGCGTTTATTGCTCGGACTGTATCGCAAGATCTCGAAAATCCCGCGCACGCCTGTTTGCGCACCTCAGGTCTCCGCACCGGAGCTGAGCCGTTGTACAGCCGGTACCAGTATAATTGGAGTTCGGAAGCGAGCGGCAGCGGAAAGCAGGGGGCGGAGCGGAGATAGTGGAATTTTGGGGTAAGTCCAATAACCACTTGTTACAACTAAGATATGCAGAAGAGCATCTCTGAACACACAACACGAGTCCGATGGGTTACAGCAGCAGATGACCACACCAGGTGCCACTCCTGTCAGCTAAGAACAAGAAACTGAGGCTACAATTCACACAGGCTCACCAAAATTGGACAATATGAGATTAGAAAAAGTCTGCCTGGTCCGATGAGACTCGATTTCTACTGTGACATTTGGATGGTAGGGTCCAAATTTGGCGTCAACAACATGAAAACATGGCTCCATCCTGGCTTGTAACAATGTTTCAGGCTGCTGGTGGTGTAATGGTGTGGGGGGCATTCTCTTGGCACACTTTGGGCCCCTTGGCACCAACTGATCATCATTGCAACAGCCTACCTGAGAGTTGTTGCTGACCATGTCTATCCCTTTGTGACCACTGTCTATCCATCTTCTGATGGCCACTTCCAGCAGGATAATGCGCCATGTCATAACACTCGATTCATCTCAGACTGGTTTCTTGAACATGACAATAGCTGTGTTTCCATTACCGGAACTACAGGATAATTCCTGGGACAGGAAATTTGACCAAGAAATAGGACGTCCCAGTCCCCTCAGCTCTTGTGTCTCCATTCAAATTCAGCTCTTTCAGAACTTTTCACAGACGTCAGCACATCGCGACTGCGTTGGCTGTGAGTGATGTCACCGATCAGCGTTAAAAAGTGTCCGCAGTAACATTAATAACATTAAAAGCTTTTATTCTATCGACGTATGTCATGATTTAATCCAAGAGGATGAGAGCAGCTGTCTGATGCAAAATGTGGTGTTCAATGACCAGAAGAAGCGCAGTTTTTTAGAGCGCTCTGAGACAACAGAGCCCAGTTAATTAAGTCTGTGGGGGAATTTCCTGCTTTTTCCAGTGTCGAAAGTTTAGTAACAGCTTTTTCATTTTCTTCCATTCTGCTTCACCAGCAACTCTGCTAATTTTACTAATGCTGACTGTCTTGGACAACATCTGCTGATGTCATTTCCTACCGAGTTACAACCAATCAGAGTCAGTTAACTGAAGGATTCACTCAGCTACTCCATCGGGCCGTTCGGAGTACCTACCCCCGAGCAGGTACTCAGAAGCTGCACCTTTGGGACAGGGTGGAACGAGAGATCATCATGGATGTGCAGCAGACAAATCTGCAGCAACTGTGTGACTTTCTATCAATTCCAATTCTTTCAAGTGACAGGATCCCAAAACTTGACATGTTTTGAATGAGCTAGCTAACCACTTGATGAAATAATCTGAACTTCAACATGAATTTTAATTCTATGAACAATAACATCACCTTCATTTAGACTAAAACATGTTTTTAAGAAAGAAAAAGACTTGCAGCACAATCAGTGTGTTTGTTTCTCAGCTCAAGTATGAGAACTGTGGAAAGGTGGAATATAGAACAGGAACACTCTGGGGACATCTAGTATTTAGAGGTGTAGCTGCAACAACAGGAAACATTTTCCAGCTGTCGGGGTGTTGGTCCACTGCTGACACGTTAAGTGACGAGCCAGCATCATGTTCAGTACAGGGTAAGGACTAATTTCTACTAATACGTTTATTTTACAACAGTATTTACAGGTGCTGGCCAGTAAATTAGAATATCATCAAAAGGTTGAAAATATTTCAGTAATTCCATTCAAAACGTGAAACTTGTACATTATATTCATGCAATGCACACAGACCAATGTATTTCCGATGTTTATTACGTTTAATTTTGATATTTATAGGTGACAACCAATGAAAACATCAAATCTGGTATCTCAGAAAATTAGAATATTCAAAAGGCCAATGAAAAAATGTTTGTTTCTCTAATGTTGGCCAACTGAAAAGAATGAACATGAAAAGAATGTGCATGTATAGCACTCAATACTTAGTCGGGGCTCCTTTTGCCTCAATAACTGCAGTAATGCGGCGTGGCATGGACTCGATCAGTCTGTGGCACTGCTCAGGTGTTATGAGAGCCCAGGTTGCTCTGATAGTCGTCTTCAGCTCCTCTGCATTGTTGGGTCTAGCGTATTGCATCCTCCGCTTCACAATACCCCATAGATTTTCTATGGGGTTAAGGTCAGGCGAGTTTGCTGGCCAATCAAGGACAGGGATACCATGGTCCTTGAACCAGGTGCTGGTGGTTTTGGCACTGTGTGCAGGTGCCAAGTCCTGTTGAAAGGTGAAGTCTGCATCCCCATAAAGTTGGTCAGCAGCAGGAAGCATGAAGTGCTCTAAAACTTCCTGGTAGACGGCTGCATTGACCCTGGACCTCAGGAAACAGAGTGGGCCAACACCGGCAGATGACATGGCACCCCACACCATCACTGACGGTGGAAACTTTACACTGGACCTCATGCAACGTGGATTCTGTGCTTCTCCGCTCTTCCTCCAGACTCTGGGTCCTTGATTTCCAAAGGAAATGCAGAACTTGCTTTCATCAGAAAACATAACTTTGGACCACTCAGCATCAGTCCAGTCCTTTTTGTCCTTGGCCCAGGCGAGACGCTTCTTGCGCTGTTTCTTGTTCAAGAGTGGCTTGACACACGGAATGCGACACCTGAATCCCATGTCTTTCATGAGTCTCCTCGTGGTGGTTCTTGAAGCGCTGACTCCAGCTGCAGTCCACTCTTTGTGGATCTCCCCCACATTTTTGAATGGGTTTGTCGTCACAATTCTCTGCAGGGTGCGGTTATCCCTAGAGCTTGTACACTTTTTTCTACCACATTTTTTCCGTCCCTTCGCCTGTCTGTTAATGTGCTTGGACACAGAGCTCTGCGAACAGCCAGCTTCTTTAGCAATCACCTTTTGTGTCTTGCCCTCCTTGTGCAAGGTGTCAATGATTGTCTTTTGGACAGCTGTTAAGTCAGAAGTCTTCCCCATGATTGTGGTGCCTTCAAAACAAGACTGAGGGACCTTTTAAAGGCCTTTGCAGGTGTTTTGAGTAAATCAGCTGATTAGAGTGGCAGCAGGTGTCTTCTATATTCAGCCTTTTCAGAATATTCTAATTTTTTGAGATACCAAATTTGGAGTTTTCATAAGTTGTCACTTATGAATATCAAATTTAAATGTAATGAACATTGGAAATACATTGGTCTGTGTGCATTGCATGAATATAATGTACAAGTTTCACGTTTTGAATGGAATTACTGAAATATTTTCAACCTTTTGATGATATTCTAATTTACTGGCCAGCACCTGTACAAGAAGTGCCTGAAAAAAATCTATTTATATCAGAATGGTGATTCCTACTTATAAAGATTCAGAATCGATTCATAAAACTCAAGAATGGATTTTGTCGGAAAGCCTATATGTTAGCTGCCATATTCCTGAGTGATCCTGAACACATCTTTGCTGGAGCCAGCGCTAGCATTAGCTGCTTGCTCTGTGTGCTCCTGCACTGCAGTCTGTAGAAATACGACAGTCTTACCTATCCTATTATTCAGTATGTGTTTTAAGAGTCAAGAAGTAAGTTCCATTACGTTTTATAATGTTGACATAGTAATCCTATTTAGTTTGGTTGCCGTTATGCAAACTGTCGTATTTCCGAGCATCTCTAAACGCACCATTGCTCAGGCATTAACTGCCTTTATTATTGTCCTGTGTGCAGTTTATGAGAACAAAGTAAGTTCCATTATGTTTTATAATGTTGAAATGGTTTTATCCTGTTTAGTTTGTGTGTTGTTTTATGCCGGCAGCACCGTGCATAATTGGCGCTTGTTAAGACGAATTAGTGCCTATTAGTCTTGTGTTCAGTGATAAATGTTACTGGTTTATGTGAATACATGCTACTGTATGCTAGAAAACCTGTTTATTAGTTTAAATGTTTCACATATCTCTCTTTTAACAGCTCCTTCAGACACACTGACACACACTCTAGTCTACACTCTAGTGGACCTGTTACTAAGAGAATTGATTGAGAATCGAGAATTGATTCTGAATCGAATCGTCACTCAGAGAATCGGAATCGACCTGAATCGTGAGTTGTAAGATTCGCATCCCTAGTATTTACTGTTAGAACTAGTGATGTGTCGTTGGCGAATGAAACAGAGAGCCGGTAATTTTAAGTGACCAATCAGAGCCAGCTCCGTCTCGGAGGAGCCGAGTCTGACTTTTTTTTCCTTTTGCGCTCCCTTTCTCTCTTTCCGTGATTGGTCAACTCCTTGATGAGCCCTGGCTCTGTTCCTGGTCTGCAGCGAGCAGGAGGGGAGGAGCGGCACATGCAGACAGGTACTGGTGTAAACCCACAGAGCAGTGGGAGGAGGGTGTGAAAGGGGAGAAAAAACAGGCTACAGAAAGGTGAGGACATGAGTTAAATTTGGACACATTTTACCAACATTGACAATTCAAAGGAAGAGTGTGGACTATGCAAAGCATAAATATATTTTCAAGCAGGCCCTACAAATGTTATTGTGTGATTATCGTAGCTCATCTAAGTCGTTTACCTGTAAATGTACAAATATTTATTTTTGTTATTTAAAATTAATATTCTTCCACTCTATAGCACAACGGTGCCCTCTAGTGGCTGGTAGATAAACATTAACCCAGTGTCGTGCCTGACAAAATAAGAATTTGATAATTTATTTTTTTTAAATATAGCTTTTAATAGAAAAACTACATTCACTCTGCACACCTCTAAATGCCCCGTGGAGCAAATCGTTTAAAATATATTGCTTTTTATTTAAATGTTCCATATTCCACCTTTGATTATTTTACAGGTTATTGCCCAGCCTTCTGGCTCACGCTCACACAGACGGGTGCTGGTGAGTGGCTGCATTTGACAGTTGATGCTCTGTGTTTTTATTTCTGCAGTGAGCCAAACTCACCTCACTCCGCCCGGAGTTTGTTCTTTAAAACTCGTGGTAAATCCACTGTGTTGATGCAATTTAACAAGCTTCCTCCATGCAATATTTTTCGCTGCAGGATGCAAAGTTTACATTGCAGATGTTTCTTCACGGAGATCAGCCACAGATGTATCTTCCGTCCGGCAGCCTGGGAATCAAAACTAGGAATTGAAATAATTTTTTTTTTAAAGATTCCGGGAAAAACTGACCGTTAGTCCCTGTTCCAGTCGATGCTCAACCCTACCCAGGAGGTGCATACGCAGTGTGTCCTCACCGCCCACTACGCAACTAGCAGGTTTAAGAATTTTCTGGGTATGGAGCCATCAAGGGGCCACCAAATTTATGGAGGGGCCAAATATTTGTCCAAAATTCTTACACAGTATTTCCAGCTGGAAACGGGTATTTACCTCATTAGCACCACTGGCATGTGAACTTGAAATTGCATCCAACTATAATCTGATCATGGGGCAAAAGACATATAAGTGACAGGATAGGGGCACTTTAGGGCACCAGTCAGATATCAGCAGGGCCAGTGCCCCTGTGCCCCCATCCCTAGGAACGCCAATGCTTTAAGTTTCTCACAATCACCAATCTATGGCCTGCAAACCCCAGTTTTAGGATAACTGTTATTAAGTTGTCCCTACAGGTGCAGTTCCCGGTCGTTTTTCTCTGAGTGTCCCTGTGATGGGACTAGAGACCTGTCCAGTGTCCAGGGTGTCCCCAGCCTGTCACCAGATGACAGCTGTCACAAACACCAGAGGAGGAAAGAGCATAGGACTCTTTTTTGTTCTCTATTGTGAAAAATTATTCATAAATAAATGAACTGAACCTTGACTTGCAATAGACAAGTTTACTTTTGTCCATAATTAAGTCAGCAGATAAACACTTATTCGTCATTTCAGAATCAGTTTCATCTCAAACTAAAACTCAGATATTTTGATTAAAGCGCATGAAGTTATTAGCGGTAACCCAGGACTGCGGGCCTAGCAGGTGCTGCTGCCTTACAGGAAGTTCGAATCTCCATTACTACTAAACTTTTACCGTTATTTTTTAACGATTACGGGAAACATGACCCATTTAATCAAACCCGTGTGTGTGGCGCAGTTTCATTTAAGGTGTAGTTTAGCCACAGTTCGAACTGAACTCGTGGGTTTGCGCTGCTGTCGAAAGTGAAACCAGTAGCTCTTGTTTGTTTACATGACGTGTTAAAGTAAACATGTCTGTTTCAACTACAGAATACGCTAATTAGACCTTTACTAGGTGGTTTTAGGACGCAACTTACCTGGGCTAAAAGGAAGACATCGGGGTTTTTTCCAGATGGGCGGACTTCTTCCGTGTTTTGCTGCTGCGAGGTGAACGTCGTGTCACGTGACGCGTCATCAGTTTTAACGTTTTACGTAAAAAAGGAACGTAGGCCGTTTAAGCTACTAATCAAAATGCAGCTATTTGTTTACACCATTATTGCTAATGATAATTTAGTTAACAGGAAATTGTAAATGAAAGATAAGCACATTTACACTCATAAACGGATGAGGGATATTGATTTGGGTCCTTGTGTTTGATTTGGCAAAGAGTTGGAATTTATTGGGGTTGGTTTTTCTCAGCATAAGAATGAGAAAATAAGCTGAGATATATTTTTCTTGCTTCTTGCCTCACATGAGGCTGTGACCGTCTCATGTAGCAATGAACTGGTGGTTCTCAGGAACCCAGGCTCCTGGCTGACAGAAGGAAGCTTTGAACAAATAACCAACGAGGTCCCAGATGCCCCACTTATCTCCAAAGAATTGTGAACAGGCTGTTCATCATGAATTGAAGAGTGTTGCTCTCATGAATTTTATTTACAGCATAATATTTCAGATTCAATCACTGTGTTTATAGACTTGAACTTTATAGAATCAAGAAACTTTTTCCAAGCATCCAAAGAAGGATGTTCAGTTTTGAATTGTTTTCCACCTCTTCCGATGATTCCAGGCCAACTTCATGATGTTGAGATGAAAGCTCCATGATGCCATATGCTGCAGAACTTTCTTTGTTCATTCTGTTGGCATGTATGGCTCCCTGTAGCTCAGGCTCTGTTTTCAGGCTTGATGCCAAGCTCCAGCATGAATTAGTCATGCATGAGACACCTCCCTGTCTGTGTTGCATAATGGATTATGAACGTAATATCTAATGTGCAAAAAAGAAACCTATATGAAGAATATTAAATCAAATGGGTACTCTGAAAAAAAAACATAACGTGTCACTTTTATAGTGAGCTTGTACATATATAATCGGTAGACTAGACTTCTTGAAAATTTTATGAGAGATGTATTTTGCCTGGAAGCTTAACTATAAAAATAACAGGTATGAATAGAATCCTGCAGTCTTATATGCATTATTTACCTCATAATAACCCTTAATGTCAGTCATTGGTTTACAGTGTTACATTGCTTAGTGCCATTTAGAAATAAGAGACCTACCAATAACTGTGGATTTAAAAAGATGAAAATTAAAATAAAAAAAGAAATGCTATTGCTACACCAACAGTTGCTATATTGTTTTAAATTAAAGCTATTTTTAATGCTGATGTAAAGAAAACTGATTGGCCTGATTGGCCAACACGTTGAACTTTTCATCTTAACATTGCCTGTTATGCCATTCAGAATGACTTCCTAACATAAATAATAATAAATAACACAATTAAGGTGCTCAATAACAACTATAGTAAAGGGGAAAATATTTTATTTCTACAGTGAACAACAGCGATAAGTTAGACAACACTGAGAATGGCACGCCACTGTGCATCCTTTAACTGGTTAAGATAATTTGCACCTTTGTTCATTCAACTATGGCAGCAAAAAAAAAAAACCATTATGTGTGTTAAAATCACGTTACTGTCCACTAGATGACAGCAGTCTCTGTAAAACAAATGAAAAAATGAATACTGCCTTTTGGGCATACTATAACCTTTGGCAGATAAAATAGGTCAAATGTTAAAGTCTAGTTTTACTCTCTCAGACTGGATTATGACAAATATTCAAGGCACGTGGATCAAACCATTGGCCTGTGAGGTTACAGCACCCAAGCAAAAAGGCAACTTTGAAATACCAAGAATACATAGGTAAAAATAGGAATGTGGAAACAGGTATTGCACCACACACTGAATAATAGCAAGTTACATGTTCAAGCCTGACTCACACATAGTGGCGTTCATTTACAACTAAAATGAACTTAAAGCTGCTATAGAAATATGAAAAACAAATTTAGGAAAAAGATTAGCTTAAAATATTTTTTCATTCCTATTAACAACATTCTAACACAGTACAGCTATAATATTGTGGAGATTAAACAAAAAAAAAGTAGTTCTCCCGCATTTGTCTAAAAACCTACGTTAATAACATACCGGTAGCTCAAAAGCAACTATTACACCATCTGATTGTTGGTCTCGCCAAACCGCTGCACTTCCCGGGTCCTCACATTATTACATAAATATTTAGCAACAGAACACCTCTGGTGTGAGACATTCTCGGCTCAATAATATTGAGGAGAAACAGCCGGCTGCTACCACTTCAACTTTAGGACAAACTATTAAGAGTCACGAAAACAAAAACACCATCTGAAGTCATGGACATCAAAAGACGTTTGGACCTAAAAAAAATTGTGTTTAGCGCTCTCTTTTCCTCTGGCATTGTGGGTTTCTGGCTCCGGCAGAAGCATCTCAGAAAAGATACCCGAGAGGAGGGGTGAGCGTTCCGTGTTTGTGTTCAAAACCTAGCTTGTTCTGTAGATTAGCTAGCAGCTTTAAAATGGCCTAGACTGCACTAACATCAAAAATATTCTCTAAACATATAGCCTGGAAACAAACATACATTAGTAAACATTGCTAACTGCAAAATACATTTAATACAAAAAAATATAATACAGTGCATTTGGATGGGATAATTACATCAGTAAAGGCACTTTATATCCATGAAATGTTTGTCGCAGTGCCCATATATCACGTGCACTTTGTTTGTAAGGCATCCGTGTGTAGGCTATATCATGCTAGGTGTTCATAATAAACTGTATAACAAAAACATCCCATATTTATTTAACCTGTAGTGTTTTTTTTAATGTGTCTTTTTGAAATGTTAATGAAAAGATTCCTTCACTGCGCTTCACATCTTCTAGACTTTCCCCATCCCTCAAAGCCAAAAATGTCAAAGACCAGGTTCACTCATTTTTCCCCAATATTGATATGGATGAATGCCTCCTTAAAGGATCACTTTAAAAAACTTCTGTGCTCCTATTTCAGAAAGTAGAAGTTAGCCAGAGGAGTGGGGCGCAGAAAACAGCAGGATTTAGTCTTATTTCCTGATATTCAGATATCTTGCTTCACCCCTCCTTTCCACCGGAGCCGTCAGCAGCACGTTACTGCAGCAGCACGTCTTGCTCGCGTAAGCTGCTGCTTGGCCCTTCCCACCAGAGACGTGTAGCAGCAGGGGAGCAGCTGTCACCGACCGAGCACGAAGTCACACGAGTGACTTCGTCAGTAAACACAACAACAAGCAGGAGAAAATTACAGCATGGCACCAAAAGGTTTGTGTTTTATGTTCTGCCCATTTTATAATCGCCAATACGGACCTGAAAAACAAAGGAGACCGCTAGCTAGGTGATAACTTCTCACGGGGACGCACAGTTAGTAACTTTTTTTAAAAGTAAGGCAACCGGAAGGCAGTACGTTCTTTATTCTGAAAATCTCTGTAGCTTCTCTCCATTTCTGCGTCCGATTTCCCGTCTTTCCTTCCCCAAAAATGTCGAACTTGACCCGTTTCAGAGGCGTCGCGCGTAGAAAATAGAACCGGCGCGTGACCCCGGCTTTCCACCGGAGCCGTCAGCAGCACGTTACTGCGGCAGCACGTCATAGCTGCTGATAGGAACCGCTGTGGTCAACAGAACCTTTTCCACTGGAGCCGTCGGCAGCCGTCAGCAGCGCGAGTCGGCCGCGTCTCAGGAGCAGCATGTCGCGGCCTTTACACGCCGGTTCTATTTTCTAAGCGCGACGCCTCTGAAACGGGTCAAGTTCGACATTTTTGGGGAAGGAAAGACAGGAAATCTGACGCGGAAATGGAGAGAAGCTACAGAGATTTTCAGAATAAAGAACGTACTGCCTTCCGGTTGCCTTACTTTTAAAAAAAGGTACTAAATGTGCGGCCCCGTGAGAAGTTATCACCTAGCTAGCGGTCTCCTTTGTTTTTCAGGTCCATATTGGCGATTATAAAACGGACAGAACATAAAACACAAACCATGTTGTAGTTTTCTCCTGCTTGTTGTTGTGTTTACTGATGAAGTCACTCGTGTGACTTCGTGCTCTGTCGGTGACAGCTGCTCCCCTGCTGCTTCGCGTCTCGTGGGAATGGCCAAGCAGCAGCTTACGCAAGCAAGACGTGCTGCTGCAGTAACGTGCTGCTGACGGCTCCCGTGGAAACCCGGGGTAAAGGCCGCGACATGCTGCTCCTGAGACGCGGCCGACTCGTGCTGCTGACGGCTCCGGTGGAAAAGGTTCTGTTGACCACAGCGGTCCCTATCAGCAGCTCTGACGTGCTGCTGCAGTAACGTGCTGCTGACGGCTCCGGTGGAAAGCAGGGGTAACAGCAACACGACCCTACCACTAACTCTGTTTTCTTTACAACAGTGATGTTTTATCTCAATAAATAACACAAGCCTAAAAATGTTCTGATGTGTGGTGGAGATGCTAATGCTAATGGTTAGCTTCTACTAGCTGGATGCTAAATCAACAACAACCTTCCCCAACGTAGATCTGATTAAAGGTAATCCCATTAGTCAAACACCTAGATATTACGTTCAGCACTAACTCCCACTCTCTATTTTAAAAGCATAATGTGGCACTTTATTTTTCTGCTGCTGACAGAAGAGCTTTTTATTTTTTTAGTGACCATTAGCTAACAAGCCTTAAATGGGCACAGTGCCACAACCTTTAATTACAAAATGCCTCCTGGCAAAGATCACGTTTTTTCATTCTTACTTTACTTCATTCCAGATGCATCTTAGATTTCTGAAAAGAGGCAGTGCTCCTATATCCACTTCACTGAACTGTTTTATTGATGATAAAGATTTATGTAATGAAAATGACATTTGTTATTTAGCAATTTATGCAATTAAAAGGAAATTGGATTAAAAAACATCTGAGGACACCAAAAAAGTAAAAAAAAAGTTCATTTCCAGTTGCTGTCTCTCGCTTGCTGTTATCTGCCTTTAAACATTTGGATTTTGTGCTTGTCCTGCAGTAACAAGGTGACATTATATTCATAATCTCCATTATGGACTCCTGTGTGTCTGTGAGCTCCAGCCATATGGTTCTTCTCCCAGTAGTGGTGCCAGTTTCCATACTGGTCAGCACCAAATCCAAACACACTGACCTGTGCGAGACAAATCAAATCAATCAAAAAATCCACCTTTTTTTATATAGCACCATTCATACAATAAATGCAACTCAAAGTGCTCTACAAATTAAAATGACCCCACATACCCACATTCTCTCCCTCCCCATAAATATAAAAGCAATATAACAATAATATCCCCCATTACACTCATCATCTGACAAGCACACACACTCAAAGACATAAGATGAAAAACCGAACACACTGGGCTGAGCTCAGATGAGCCAGACAAGCTAAGTTAAAGAAATGCCATCAGGGGAGCCATCTGCCCCGACAACAGCAGATCCACAGCAGCAGCAGCCGAGGCACCGACACAGGGCGCCCAGGGGAGGGAGGGCGGACACCCCCACCTCCACCCAGGCACACCCAGAAAGAACCCAGGCTGCCACAGCTGACCACCGCCCCTGGGGCAGAGGGCTCCCACCGAGGTTAACAAAAACAGTTACTATGATCACCACAAATGTAGCTTTTCTTCTCAGCCACTAGTTTACACATCAGAACTTTCTTAAGCTGTGTTTCAACTAAAGGAGTTCCAGAAAATTTCTGGGAGGGAGAAAAGTGACAGCGAGACAAGATGGGTCAATCTTATCAGCTGCTGCGTCTCCATACAAAATCGCCCCTTTCAAGACTTTGCTAGGACGTCAGCATATCGAGAATGCTTCGGTAGTGAGTGATGTCACTGATCAGCACCAAAAAGTGTCCACGTTCATTAATACCATTAATAGTTTTATTCTGTCAAAATACACCATAATTCAATCCAATTGGAGGACCGATTGAGCGGCTGTGGGATGTAAAATGTGGTGTTCAATGACCATAAGAAGTGCTGTTTTATTACGGTCCTCTGTAAGACAACACAGCCCTGTGAATTTCATAGTTTTAAGGGAATTTCCACCGCATTTTTCGGTGTTAGGAGTTTAGTAACTGTGATTTTAAAGCAGAGTGAACTCTGCTTTTTGTTTTCCTTCAATTCCGCTTCACCAGACACAATTTTTCAAATGCTGTAAAAATGGTCCTTTACGTCGGCTCGCTAAAATGGAGACACGCGCAAGTTGTGAAGGTCCGATAGTAGAAACAGGCCTTTTGTTATCCAAGCAGGAACTGAGCAGTTAGTGGAAAAACAAGCTTACTTCATCGCATAAGTGAACAGCGAGCATCAAACCCAGGAAGCCAGTTGAAGGGTATCGTCCATGACCTTCAAGCCAGGACTCGTAGACATATTTTAAAAATGTTGGATTGTAAATCAACACCTGTAAACAAAGGAAAACATACATTTTAATTTCAACAGCAACACCATGTGGTGAATTGCTTATAAATATAGCACAAAAACCCTCATTGTGACATTATGACAGGAAGTTTTATGTAGATAGAAACACATTGTGTGTATTTGTGTGTGTGTGTGTGTGTGTGTGTACTTGTTTTCATATGTTTAAGTGGACTAATTTGACCTCTAACCTGTAAAATGTGGATATTTCTGCATTGCGGGGACATTTTGCTGGTCCACACAATGCTAAGCACCCTAAAGTTTGGTTTTAGAGGTATGATGTGAATCAACTTTCAGTTTAGGTTAGGGTTGGGAATGGAACCCCATTGGTTAAGGTTAGGATATGGGTTTGGGTTGCATAGTGGAGTCACTAAAATGAATGGAAGGCAATGGAGATCCACCAAACATATAAATACAAGTGTGTGTGCATGTGTGTGAAGTCCTCACCTTGTCTCTGTTTGCCTTTATCTTTGACATAACAGGTAAATATGTGCTGCAACATAAAAGGTATTTGGTGTCATCCAATAATCTGTTACTTTTTCTTCTCATTTTTACATTTTCCACCCTCCCTCACATGAGAGCATCTGAAGCTGTTAGGGAAGACACTAAATATTTAAGTAGAAGTATGTGAAGCACCTGAGGGGAGCCCATACTTAGCATAAAAATATCTCCAGGTATGCCTTCAGTTCGCAGTAGGAAAAATAAAGAGGCATCATTTTGCCCTTATGGTTTATGCCACTTTGGTGATAAATAATAACATGTTCTGTATTATTTGAAGGAATTAATAGAAATATGTGAAAGCAGTAGTGAGTGCTGTGGTTATTTATGCTACTCTGTCCATGTCTTGCTTTGGCAGAGGGACAGCTGCACAATTACTGGCAAACATTTGCCTGGAGACTTTCACCGTGCATGTTGTAGTTGATGGATTTATTGGCTGTGGCACTTTTTGGCTACATTATTTTTTGCTGGATGTCCAGTAATCAAGCTAATAATAAAAATTAATTGGAAATGAAGCAGCTAAAGGGGTAAAATTAAAAGTGATTATAGCATGAAGAGGGTCTGAAGTAACCTAAAATACAAAATAACCTTTAAAAATGTAGTTTTTTTAAACGGAACTCTATTTTGTAAAAAAAAAAAAAAAAACAATATAACAGCAGTCAATAAATAAAATTGGCCCTTGCCGCCCATTGGCTCTCCAGTACGGTGCAGTACAAATGGATAGGACTGTAAACGGCAAGTTTTAATGAAGGTACTACTTTTAATACGCTATCTTTTCTACTACTACTAATACTACAAGTGATACTACTACTACTACTACTACTGATACTACTACTACTACTACTACTACTGATACTACTACTACTACTACTACTACTACTACTGATACTACTACTACTCCTACTACTCCTACTACTGGTAATTATAATAATAAGGCGTTTAAAGTATGTTGCACTTTTCCCAACAACCCAACTGATATTGAAGCAAAAGTATTCCATAATGACTTTAATTTACTCTTATATAAAAAACTGATTGATAACACTTTACAATAAGGGTTTCCTTATTAAAGTTACTTAGTGCATTATTAAACATTTATCAACAAAGGATCCATTTATTAACGTTCCCAACATTAGCTATTAACTAGGGTTAGGGTTAACATTAACAATTCATATATATATATATATATATATATATATATATATATATATATATATATATATATATATATATGTATATATATCGTCTCGTCTTCCTCCGCTTATCCGGGTCCGGGTCACGGGGGCAGCATCCCAACTAGGGAGCTCCAGGCCGTCCTCTCCCCGGCCTTGTCCACCAGCTCCTCCGGCAGGACCCCAAGGCGTTCCCGGACCAGATTGGAGATGTAACCTCTCCAACGTGTCCTGGGTCGACCCGGGGGCCTTCTGCCGGCAGGACATGCCCAAAACACCTCCCCAGGGAGGCGTCCAGGAGGCATCCTGACCAGATGCCCAAACCACCTCAACTGGCTCCTTTCGATCCGGAGGAGCAGCGGTTTTACTCCGAGTCCCTCCCGAATGTCCGAGCTCCTCACCCTATCTCTAAGGCTGAGACCGGCCACCCTACGGAGGAAACTCATTTCGGCCGCTTGTATCCGCGATCTCGTTCTTTCGGTCATTACCCAAAGCTCATGACCATAGGTGAGGATTGGGACGTAGATCGACCGGTAAATCGAGAGCCTGGCTTTCTGGCTCAGCTCCCTCTTCCCCACGACAGATCGGCTCAGCGTCCGCATCACTGCAGACGCCGAACCAATCCGCCTGTCGATCTCCCGATCCCTCCTACCCTCACTCGTGAACAAGACCCCGAGATACTTAAACTCCTCCACTTGAGGTAGGACCTCTCCCCCGACCCGGAGGTGGCAAGCCACCCTTTTCCGGTCGAGAACCATGGTCTCAGATTTGGAGGTGCTGATCCTCATCCCAGCCGCTTCACATTCGGCCGCGAACCTACCCAGCAAGAGCTGAAGGTCAGAGCTGGTTGAAGCTAGGAGGACCACATCATCCGCAAAAAGCAGAGACGAGATTCTCCTGCCACCAAACTCGACACACTCCACACCACGGCTGCGTCTAGAAATTCTGTCCATAAAAGTGATGAACAGAACCGGTGACAAAGGGCAGCCCTGGCGGAGTCCAACCCTCACTGGGAACAGGTCCGACTTACTACCGGCTATGTGGACCAAACTCACGCTCCTCTGGTAAAGGGACTGAATGGCCCTTAACAGAAAGCCACCCACCCCATACTCCTGGAGCGTCCCCCACAGGGTGCCCCTGGGGACACGGTCATAAGCCTTCTCCAAATCCACAAAGCACATGTGGATTGGTTGGACAAACTCCCATGCCCCCTCCATCACCCTTGCAAGGGTATAGAGCTGGTCCACATTTCCACGGCCAGGACGAAAACCACATTGCTCCTCCTCTATCTGAGATTCAACTATCGATCGGACCCTCCTCTCCAGTACCTTGGAGTAGACCTTTCCAGGGAGGCTGAGGAGTGTGATCCGCCTATTGTTGGAACACACCCTCAGGTCACCCTTCTTAAAGATGGGGACCACCACCCCGGTCTGCCACTCCCTAGGAACTGCCCCCGATGACCACGCAATGTTGTAGAGACGTGTCAACCATGACAGCCCTACAACATCCATAGCCTTAAGATACCCAGGACGAACCTCATCCGCCCCCGGGGCTCCGCCGCTGTGTAGTTGTTTGACTACCTCAGCAACTTCTGCCCCCGAGATCGGACAGTCCCTCCCCAGGCCTCCCAGCTCTGGTTCCTCCTCGGAATGCGCATTGGTGGGATTGAGGAGCTCCTCAAAGTATTCCTTCCACCGTCCGACTATAGCCTCAGTTGACATCAGCAGCTCCCCATCCCCACTGTAAACAGTGTGAGCGAGTTGCTGCCTTCCTCTCCTGAGGCGCCGGACAGTTTGCCAGAACCTCTTTGGAGCCGATCGATAGTCTTTCTCCATGGCCTCACCAAACTCCTCCCACGCCCGAGATTTTGCCTCGGCAACTGCCACTGCTGCACCCCGCTTGGCTATCCGGTACCTGTCTGCTGCCTCCGGAGACCCACAGACCAGCCACGCCCTGTAGGCCTCCTTCTTCAGCCTGACAGCTCCCCGAACCTCTGGTGTCCACCAGCGGGTACGGGGGTTGCCACCACGACTGGCACCTGCCACCTTACGACCACAGCTAGCAACAGCCGCCTCGACAATCGCAGAGTGGAACAAGGCCCACTCGGACTTAATGTCCCCCACTGCTCTCGGGACGTGGTCACAGCTCTGCCGGAGGTGGGAGTTGAAGACCGTCTTGACAGGTTCTTCTGCCAGGCGTTCCCAGCAGACCCTCACTATGCGTTTGGGTCTGCCAGGTCTACGCGGCATGTTCCCCTGCCATCTGATCCAACTCACCACCAGGTGGTGATCAGTTGACAGCTCCGCCCCTCTCTTCACTCGGGTGTCCAAAACATACGGCTGCAGGTCAGATGATACGACTACAAAATCTATCATCGACCTGTGACCTAGGCTGCCCTGGTACCAAGTGTACCGGTGGGCATCCTTATGTTCGAACATGGTGTTCGTTATGGCCAAACTGCGGCTTGCACAGAAGTCCAATAACAAAACACCGCTCGAGTTCAGATTAGGTGGGTCGTTCCTCCCAATCACACCCCTCCAGGTCAAGCTGTCATTGCCCACGTGAGCATTGAAGTCCCCCAGCAGGACAATGGAGTCCCCTGATGGAGCACTATCTAGCACTCGTCCCAGGGACTCCAAAAAGGGTGGGTACTCTGAACTGATATTTGGCCCATAAGCACAAACAACAGTCAGGACCCGTTCCCCGACCCGAAGGCGCAGGGAAGCTACCCTCTTGTCCCCCGGGGTAAACCCCAACACACAGGCAGAGAGTCTCGGGGCTAACAAAAAGCCAACCCCAGCCCTCCGCCTCTCACCCGGAGCAACTCCAGCAAAGTAGAGTGTCCAACCCCTCTCCAGGTCTCGGGTTCCAGAGCCAATGCAATGTGTCGAGGTGAGTCCGACTATATCTAGCCGGTACCGCTCAACCTCTGCCACAAGCTCCGGCTCCTTCCCCGCCAGCGAGGTGACGTTCCATGTCCCAAAAACTAGTTTTCTTGTCCGGGGATTGGACCGCCAAGGCTCCCGCCTTGGTCTGCCACCCGATTCGCATTGCACCGGACCCTTCATGTTCCTCCTGCGGGTGGTGGGTCCACAGTTGGACGAGCCCATGTATCCGGTTCGGGCTGGGCCCGGCCGGGCCCCATGGGCGAAAGCCCGGCCACCAGGCGCTCGCTCACGGGCCCCAACCCCAACCCTGGCTCCAGGGTGGGACCCCGGTAACCCTCCGGGCCGGGTACTCCGACTCTTCGTTTTAACCGCCATGAAAGATCCTTCGAACCTTTCTTTGTCTCACCCTTCACCTAAGACCAATTTGTCATGGGAGACCCTACCAGGGGCACTAAGTGCCCCAGACAACATAGCTCCTAGGATCATTAGGGCACTCAAACTCCTCCATATATATATATAATTTATTTTTCTAATTATTATTATGTATATATTAACTACATAAATGTCCTTAACCCTCCCACTGTCCTAATGGGTGTGACCCCGCGAGGAAAGCTGACCATTGAGCAGGATTGATGGATTACCCCTTGAGGTCCATGTGGCAAGAGTGAGGTGGTGCTCACTCCTGGCGTGACCCATAAAGACAGTGGGAGGGTTAAGGTTAGAACAAAGAGCCAGGGGAGGTGTCTGCCCAGAAAAGCTGACTTACCTTTTACCTGAATAACCAATTATATTGATCTGTCCTGGTTTGATCAGAATGAAAATTCAAATAGAAAAGTGTAACAAAAGTGGACAGACAAGAGGTGCTGCTGCAGACTAAATGAACACAAATGTGAATCACTCGTGCACCAACAAATGTAATCTGACTCTCAAACTTTGATGAGCCTTGAGGGTCAAAGATAGCCAAGTTTTATCTTTCTGAATTGTATTTTTATACTTCATTTTAAAAAGGGTCCAAGTCTGCTATTCTCCTGAGGGGTTACACCTTCATGAAAATCCACGTTTTTCATTTTCACCACGAGTTCACTGGAGGTGTAGATAAAGAAATCAATGGAGGTTGTGCATTCAAACTTTGATTCATGCAGCAATTGCAGCTTCACTCCTTAGGGCTGTTTTTATGCATGCTACTTTATTTTTCATAGCTGTTCTTGCCTTTTTCATGTGGTTGTGACAAAGAATCAAGGTATGTGGCATTCATTGATGATGGAATCAACTCAAGGTAAAGATACTTTAAGACTGAGCACATTGAAGTCAGTAAACTCAGAATTCACAAGTAGAACAAAAGTTAGTTGATCCTTCTTTTTGGAATACACCTTTGGTGTTTTATCTATCACGCCTTGCTAAAGAACTAAGATACTTTCCTCATGTGCTGCACCTTTCAGAAATCTAGTTATTATATTACTTTTATACTTTAATTCTTCGTGGTTTTGAAATGGACATTATTGTTTCCTTTTAAGATTAAAAAAACTGAAAAGTCTGACTTTATTTGGTCTTGTAGTACACTTACTGTTTTATAGTGCCTGTGGTCAGAGCACTAATGATCCACTGCAAATCCAGAGTCTTGAAAGGGACCAGTATCAGACTGGTGGTATTGTCCAAGTTGATGGCACTTTCTGGGTACATGAGGTGATGAGTTGTTTTGGTTCCTACATCTTCCTCAAAGCCACGTGTAGGACCCTGGTTCATTCTGCAGGGATGGAAATGGTAGCACATTTAGAGTTTACCGTAAATCCTCTAATATTAGCCTGTATTTAATTAACTGTCGGGTATCATATTTTGGCCGGTGTCGGCGGAGGTGAATAATGGCCGGTCTCTTATTGTGGCCGGGTGGAATGTGGTAACAAGCAAGTACGGGGGGCGGTTGTGTCATCGTCTCACTTTTGATTTGCCAGTGATAGACCGCGAGGGTAACTTTAACCGTGCGGAGACGAAGAGGAGGCAAAATTTTTATATCAAGTTCAAAGAGAACGTGCTGATTATGCTGCAGAACACTGGGGAGCAGTAGCAGGGGTTGTATGAACTAGTCGACTTCACCGCTCTATAGTGACTTGTTATGCCTGTCATCGACTAGTCGCTGTCACGTAATAATAACCGGCAAGATGCAGTCCACGGAAAAGACAGCAGCCTGCTGTCAGCAGGTGACAAGCTCCTGCACGTCGGGGAGGCAACGCGCTGTGCCAGAGCGTCGGTACTGACACCCGCCGTAAAACGGACATTTAACCAAATTGTGACCTTTACCCTCTTGCAATTTAACATTCCCCTCACCCCCATCCTAACCTTAACCAGCTTGCGCATGCAAAGCTCTGATTGTTGACACGCTCCAGACATCTGCGTCCTGAGCACGGCTTCAGTAACATTATCAAATCAGGTGTCGCCACCTCAAAATCTAATTTAAAGCGCAATCGTTCATGTCGGCTCATTTCCTTTTATGTTTTCCGTCTTTTATTCTTTTATTTGTGCCTGATGCGTTTCGCTGCTGTGGATCGGGGCGCATCACCCGTTTTGTCCTCGGTGACGCACCGATCACTGATGTGGCCGGCGTGCACTCCGCTGTTTTTGCGGTCGGTAGATCTTTTAGAACTGCAGTTCAAAGGTAACTCATGAGGTGAATATATATGAACCCAGGTAGCAGTTTCTCTTTAGGATTGAGAGGAGATGCAGGAAGATAATAAACAGGCAGGACAGAAAAATAGTCAAATAAAAACAAGTTAGTTTTTGTACCTGCTGTTGCAACAAACAGACACCATTGAAGGTAATCAGAAGTGAGGAACAGAAAATGAAATAATTATTTTAATGTTTAGAGCAGCAGGAACTCCGAGAGGCTGCAGGCGCATCAGTGAGTTTGCGGCCGCTGCGCAGGGGGAGGGGGGGGAGGGCTGAAGCAGGGGGAGGGGGAAGAGGGCTGAAGCAGGGGGAGGGGGGAGAGGGCTGAAGCAGAAACTACCGTTGTTAAAAGAAATGTGTTTAACTTTGAAAATGTGGACGCAATTTTAATTGTCAAAAACTCCAGCGAACCATTAGTTCATTTTGCTCAAATAGAAATAGAGGCCTGCCTCTATCTCTGGTCCTCCTTCCAATAAAGGCCTGGAGCTTGATGAGCTTGAGTCAAATACAGGCCCGGGCCTGTATTAGAGGATTTACGGTATGTCATTTTTGTGTCACATGTACAATTGCTTTTATTGCCTCGTCTTAATGTCACCAAAAAGGTAACGTGTTTTACCCCATCTTTCTACTGGATCCATTAGTGGAGAATAACAGATGCGTTTTACTTGCAAGCCCCCTTGCCAACAGGAGCACTCCATGTAGCTTGTCCCACAATGTGACGAAATGACTGTAGAATTGCCAGATCATTCGTGATTCTGGCAACTCATGTGATAACAACCAACGAGAAAGACAACAGCATGTATGTGGTTTAGTTGTCTGTTATGTTTACCTCAGCTATGGAGGTTTCACAGGAAATTATGTACAATTTTTACTAATCAAAAGAGGTGTGACCAAGTCACTGCTTTGCCAGTCACAAGTAAGTAACGAGTATTTCCAGTCAAGTCTCGAGTCAAGTCGAAGTCAAAGACAACCAAGTCCAAGTCAAGTCCAAAGTCAATGATGTGGAAGTCCAAGTCAAGTCCAAGTCCTTAACTTTGAATTTTAAAGTCATAATCAAGTCATCTGTCAACCTTCAATTTATTGACAATGATGATAAATAAATCCCAGAAATAAAGCTTCTTAAAGCTTCATTTATTTGCTCAAACAAGCAGAAAGTGCAACGGAAATAGATAATAAACAAAGTGCTGCTGCATTTAGCAGTACAAGATCAAACCCAGAACCAATAATGATTTATGATTTTTGTCCATGTCGGGCCACTTTTGTGCTGAAATATCAAATATGCTCAAGTCATCATCAAGTCAACAGATGCAAGTCGATTCAAGTCACAAGTCATTGGTGTTCAAGTCCGAGTCAAGTTGTAAGTCTTTATAGATTTTAACAAGTCGTCAGAAGTTATTAAAATAATGACTCGAGTCCACACCTCTGCTAATTAAGAATCTGAACATCTGCACATTACATTTAAAAAAAAGTTTCCGAACTACGCTTTGCCGATGTTACGCAACGCTGACACAACCAGTGGAAAGGCCCAGTTACGTGTTTGATGGAAAGGCCCAATCATCATTCTAAAGTGCAAAAAAATCTAAAAAACTCAAACTGCCTTCTGATGCTTCAAAATCCCAAAAAGCAATTTTCTAAAATCCACAAGCATCTACTGCCTAACTATTACAACATGGCAGGCTAGCAAAGGCATCCCTATTACCATCCAACAATTTCCTTTTAAACTGAAACAGTAAATGTTGAGAATACAGTTTGACAATAACATTTAACTCTGGTCAGAAATGGGAAGTGGCACAAGAAAGGGTCATGAGTCTGACCCCTTCCTAAGTGAAAGCCTTTCATATGTGCATGCAGTCTGAGTAGCATCATCTTCCTCATTACCGAGCGTGGGATGACGGCTATAAAACAACATGACATTTACAGCCAGGGGCTGTCAAAACAGCCCCTTGCAAGAAACATTATTGGCAAAAGGCTATTTATCGCTGATGACAAGTTCAAAATGTCACAATTCATTGACATTCCTGAAACCATCCTTGTGTAGACGATTACGGTTGTGGTTTAGACCAATGCTTTACAGCTTGAAGAAAAGCTTGATGAAAAGATCAACAACCAACAAACAAAAAGAAACAGGACTGCATCACAAACAAAATGTTAATTATTTTGGTTGACGCTTCTTCTGTTAAGCATCGCAGGGAGCTGGTATTTTTAATCCAGCAGTCACCAGGTGAGAGGTGGAGGACGCCCTTGACAGATTGTCTGTTCATCACTGGGATACACATGGAAACCCATGAGTCACAGTAATTCCCACTTTCACTCACACCTAGTGACAATTCAGATTTGCCAATCAAACTAATATGCATGTTTTTGGTCTGTGGGAGGAAAACCAGGAGAATACCACACATGCACCATGCTAACTCTGTGCTGCAGGGCTGTAGTCAGTTTTAACCACTAACCTTACTGTGACGTAACACTACTACTATGTAGTCTCAATAAAACATGCATTCATGATTAATAAAAATGTTATTAAGCTATCAAAAGTGTTCAAAGGTAGAGAGCATGCATGCTCCTCACAGACAAGACCCAATTGTAAGGCTTGACTCGAGCTGAGCTGAACCGGAGCGAGAGTTCGGGATGTAGCGTTTTTTTAAACCCAAGCGCGGAGTGACTGACGCCAGGCAGACTGACACGCGGTTTGATCTAGGAGTCAACCGTATAATGACTGGAGAGCATGGCGGCTCCAAAAGGTAACAAGCTGACTTACTTTGAGTCGGCAGGGTGAGTAGCACAGGCTGATCTGGCCAGAACGGGCTGAGTGATCGGGTTGGATCTGGTCGGAACTCGGAGCACAGTTCGGTTAGAACGATGACTGAGTGGTTTGGCGTTGAGCTGTACTTCCTTATGTAGATGTGGCGGGTGACGTGGGCTGGAAGACTGGCACTGAGAATGCTGGGTAGTGGAGTTCGGTTGGCCTGAGTGGGTGTGTGTGGTCCTTCCCCGGAGGATGTTGAGGGGTGTGAAGGGGGCAGCGTGACAGGATCCCCCACCGGAGGGACGGCCCCAGAAGTCCCAGGGCGGCGGGCCCAGAAGTCCGAGATGAGCGAGGGGTCCATGATTGCACTCGTTGGCTCCCAGGAGCGTTCCTACGAGCCGTAATCCCCCCAATCCACTAGGTACTGCCAACCCCTGCCACGGCGACGGGTGTCCAGCAGGCGCCGCACAGTGAAAAGCCCATCTTCGCCAACCCCTCGAGGCGGAGGCTCGGGATCCAGAGGAGGAGCGAGGAGAAAGGTCCGTACTGGTCTTAGCTGGGACACATGGAAGACGGGATGGACCTTGAGAGGCTTGGGTAGGCGGATACATTACGCCTCCGGGTAAATTACCCTCTCCATAGGGTAGGGTCCCAAAAATCATGGGGCGAGCTTCCAGGAGCCAGAGGGCAGGCACATGTTCCAGGTAGACACCCATACCTTGTCGCCAGGTTGAAGCGTTGGCCCAGTCCGGTGGCGGCGTTTATGCTGGCGAGAGTATTCGGTGTTTGCTCGCTTGATGGCCGCCCGAGCACGAACCCAGGCGAGGCAGCAACGCCGGACCAGGGTCTGGGCAGTGGGGACCTCCGTCTCTGGTTCCTGGTGGTGGAATAGAGGGGGCTGGTATCCGTAACACAACTCAAACGGGGAGAGACCAGTGGCCGAGGAGACGTGGAGATTGTGGGACATCTCCGCCCACAAGAGGTATTTGGGCCAAGTGGTTGGTTGGGAGGAGGCAAAGCAGCAGAGGTACCGACCAAGTTGCTGATTTGCACGCTCTGACTGCCCATTAGTTTGGGGCTGGTAGCCAGAGGAGAGACTACTACTGGCACCAACCAGCCGACAGAAAGCCCTCCAGAATCTTGACATGAACTTGGGTCCCCGATCCGAGACAATGTCCTGGGGAAACCCATGGAGGCGCACGACCTGCTCCAGGAGGATCTCGGCCGTCTGCTTGGCCGTGGGCAGGCCAGGAAGAGCCACTAGGGGGACCACTTTTGAGAATCTGCCCACGATGGTTAGGATGGTCTCGAGCTGGTTGACAGGAGGTAACCCCGTG